GGGAGCAAATTCACGTATTCCTCTTTTCTTTCTCGTTTTTTACCCTAAAAAATGTTCAAGAGTCAGCAAAATGTTTTTTTTTCCTTTCTTTGTGTATGTATGTATCAAGTGGTGGCTAGAGTGAGATCTGGGTTAGCTAAGATTGATTCTGTTATACTTGCAATATTCAGATTTGTTTATTCAATAATTTAGAGGAAACCCATCTCTGAAAACCATTTTTAGTTTTTATATTTTAGTTTTAATTTTAGGTTGCATCCTCTTTCTGAATAATTTAGATTTTTGCTTAGCTTTTCCATACAATGTATGTTTTAATTTTCTTAAATAAATTGCTGATTATTTGCAGTTTTACGGCGAGTGATGGGAAAAAGAAGGTCAAGGCCATGTTTCAATCTACTTTATCGTCTTTAATCACCTCTGGAAGTATTCAGAACTTGGGCCTTATTCGGATTCTTGATTACACTCTAAACGACATCCCCACGAAGAACGAGAAGTAAAAATCATTTTGCCCTTTTTCTTGATTATGTCTTGTTATATGTATATATATATTTTTGTGTGTGTAGGTCTAAATCTATGTTAACATTAATGTGCAGGTACTTATTTGTAACAAAGTTTGAGACTGTTTCTCCTGCACTTGACTCCGAGTACAAGGACGAGGCAGAAGCTAAGGACAGTGGTGACGAATTGAAGCCAAAGCAGGAAATGGATGTCAAAAGTGAAGTTAATGGTATTGTTTTGAAGCCAAAGCAAGAAATTGTTGCCAAATCAGCGGCTCAAATAGTTCATGAGCAACATCAAAAGTAAGTATTTTCTTGTATCTTCAATTGAATTTGATTTGAAAGAGTTGTGTGATGCCTTGATTTGATGTTGATGTGTTAATGTTGTTATATTAATGAATACCAGTATGGCACCATCTGCTCGAATGGCAATGACTCGAAGAATTCATCCTCTTGTTTCCTTAAATCCTTATCAAGGAATTTGGACAATAAAGGTTCGTGTCACTGGTAAAGGAAACATGCGTTCATATAGGAATGCCAGAGGAGAAGGCTGTGTGTTCAATGTAGAATTAACCGATGAAGATGTGAGTGAATGTTGCTAATATATCTAAATTAGATCTTGTTTATTAGTTACGTAGACGAACAGAACTGATGAAATTATTCATATGGTTCAGGGCACACAAATACAAGCAACAATGTTTAATGAGGCTGCAAAGAAGTTTTATGATAAGTTTCAGTTGGGAAAGGTCTATTACATATCAAAGGGAACTCTGAAAGTTGCTAACAAGCAATTTAAAACCGTGCAAAATGATTATGAAATGACATTGAATGAAAATTCTGAAGTTGAGGAATCTAGCAGTGAGGCTACTTTTATTCCCGAAACAAAATTCAATTTTGTGCCAATTGATGAATTAGGTCCATATGTGAATGGGAGAGATCTTGTCGGTAAGCAGTCTTTCTGAAACCCTTTATTACACAATTCTTACTCTTCAGTATATAATGTTTGTGTTTGTTGTGTTTTGTTGGTGTCAATGACAGATGTTGTCGGTGTTGTTCGAGAAGTATCAACAACCATGAGTATTCGACGGAAAAGCAATAATGAGACAATTCCCAAGCGTGACATTACGATTGCTGATGAGACGTATGTGTTATCCTCTTTGATTTGCATTCACTGTATTTGAACGTAAGTTGAAACTATGATATGTAAATTTCAGGAAGAAGACTGTTGTTGTGTCTCTATGGAATGATCTTGCCACAAGTGTAGGACAAGAACTGCTAGACATGGCCGATAAGTCACCAGTAGTTGCAATTAAATCTCTCAAAGTTGGAGATTTCCAGGGTACTAAAAATATGTTACAGATATTTTATTCTTACAAACCAAGTTAGTATAATCTGAACAATGTGCTAATTGTATGTTGATTCTTCAGGTTTATCGTTGTCAGCACTAAGCAAAAGTGTTGTGGTAATCAACCCTGACTTGCCAGAAGCCAAGAAGTTGAGATCCTGGTAAGAAATTGTCCCAATGGATTATCAAATTTATCTCTTGGCAAATTGTATGAACATTTGTTAATCGATACAGGTATGATTCTGAAGGCAAAGAGACTTCTTTGGCATCTGTTGGTTCTGGCTTAAGCCTTTCAACTAAAAGTGGAGCTCGATCGATGTATACTGATAGGGTCTTGTTATCTCATATCACCAGTAACCCATCGTTGGGTGAGGACAAGGTACATATATTTCCATGAATTTAACGGCTAAATCTTAGTATGATGGTGAAGATTATTGCCTGACAGTTTAGATAATCTTTTTTCTTGGCAGCCTGCATATTTCAGTGTTAAAGCATACATAAGTTACATCAAAACCGACCAAACTATGTGGTATCGTGCATGCAAGACATGTAACAAGAAAGTCACGGATGCTATTGGATCTGGCTATTGGTGTGAAGGATGCCAAAAGAACTACGAAGAATGCAGCTTGAGGTTCGTGAAAATTCAATTAACTGATCATTGACTTATCCAATGTCTTCCTTAAATGTCCTAAAGAAGTTCATACTTTGTCTGGTTGCAGATATATAATGGTAGTGAAAGTTTCTGATGCAAGTGGTGAAGCCTTTTTCTCCCTTTTTAATGAACAAGCAGAGGAAATAATTGGTTGCTCCGCAGACGAACTTAACGAACTAAAGTCCCAGGTTAACATTGTGCAACCTTAATTTATACAAGCTCGGATCATTTTGTCTGAAATCTTGCTGATTTCTTTTGTTACTTTTTAGGATGGAGAAAATTCTTATCAAATGAAATTGAAGGAAGCTACATGGATTCCACACCTGTTTCGAGTTAGCGTTACTCTACAAGAATACAACAATGAGAAAAGGCAGCGGATAACTATCAGAGCTGTTGCTCCTGTGGATTATGCAACTGAATCATCGTCTTTGATCGAACAAATATTGAAGATGAAAATCTAAAAAGTTGAGTAGCACGGTGTTTTTGTTAATTGGTCGACTGTGCTTGTTTAGTAGCAGTTTTTGTTTTAGGAACCTTAATGAATGCTATGTTTATTTTGGTTATTGCCAATGCTTGTAATATATGGCATTTAATTTCTTGATCATTCGTTGGTGCACTTCTTGATCTTGAGCCAATGTTAAGGGGCTGGACCCACCTTGAAACAAGACCATGATTTTGTTTTCACCCGTTAACTCTTGACTTCAAAAGTTCGTTAACTTGAAAACTCTTTGGTCTCTTATTTTATTTCTTTAATTGGAAATAGTCGGGACAATTGATAGTGTGTCTAGCATTGATTTTATTCAAATTAGTAGTATATTTTTAACCCTATTTTTCAATTGTTGGCCTCCACACTTCTCACATGTGGTCAAATGTTGCGATTGTAGGTGTGTGTAACGGTTGATATCTCAATTAAAATTTGTTAATTAATTGCTTCCAGACATGGCCTGAATTTGGCCGGTTGATGCAATGGTACTTTAGGTGACTGCGCTAACATAAAACCCAAGTGTTGAGCTACAATTTGAGCTCGTGTTTGGTAAAGATTAAAATTAGTTTTTTAGTAGATTTCGATAAAAGTTGATAAAATGTGCTGTTAAAATTAATTGTTGATTTTGATTCGAAATTTCAATTGAATTTTAATCAAAACCAAACAGGGGCTAAATAAATTCCAAAGATAAAAATTGAAACATGTTTTGGTTATTAATCACAACTTAATTTGACTAATTTTAACTTTCAAATTAATTAATTACTAATTATAAGCAACGTTTGGTGCCAGTCCTCAATGCATCTTGGCTTCCAGTCCGAGTGTTTGAAAAAAGACAAATCCAAAATTTTCCAGTCAAAAATACAAGTCAAAAGAGATTTTCTGCAAGAAATATTCAATTGAAGATATATATTTTTGCAATATCCATTGAATCAAATCTACGGGACCTTTTTATAAACTGATCAATACATTCGTCCTTTATCTTTCTTTTTTTTTTAGCAACACTAATGTTATATAATTAACAATCGTAGTGTAAAAAGTAAAAACTATCAATACAATTTTTTATGGATTTGTCTACTTGTACATAATTTTATATACATAATGGTATCTACACCCTCGCATGGAGTGTGGCCCACTTAACATGTTTCAATTTTTATTTTCCTCGGGACGAATATCATGTTGAAATTTTTTTCCATCCATAGTATTGGTTTAAATGAATAATTTTTGACTTTTGGCCTTGCATCCTTATAAATATATTAATTAATTTTGATTTTTTGAGCTTCCTATTCATTCAGGGGGAATTGCTTTGGGTCAACAATCACATCGAGTCCATCTTTAGGGTAACCTTTTGATATGCTTTTTGAAGTCTTCCAACTCGTTCTACAGTCAAACCGAAATGATAATGATTTAATTTGACCAATTTTCGCTTGAATTAAGTACCAAGATGAACTAAGGGTGTGTCTGTTCGCCATTTTTATCAGATTTTCAGTATAAATATTATCGTTTTTTTCAATTGGTGGCCCCCACATCTGGTCAATTGTTGCGGCTAAAGGACAAAGCAATTGTTGAATTTTCAATCAAAATTTGTGAAATAATTCGGGCTAGAGACGCTTTAAATTATGTCAATTCCTCCATCAATCACGAGCATGCTTGGAAGTGATTATAAACTGTGAATCATATAAAATGTACGGATAATAATAAGTTGTAGTAATTGTGAGTCATATGAGTATGAATAAAATATATGTTTGACCATCTTAAATTATAGTGTTGGGAGGAGATTTACTGATTAGCTCAAGAAATAGTAGACCTCTCTTTACAACCCACGGTTCGCACAAGAACCAAACCCACGGGTCAAATTAACTCAAATGGTGATGTGATAGATTATGGCATGCAATTCTATTTTTCTTTGCTTATAAGTTGAATAATATTGTCAAAAAGAAAGAACATTATGCGTAAATCATGGAATTGAAAACATAAAATCAAAACATTAGACGACAGACCAAAACATTATGTCCCAAAAACATAGGATCAAGGTGAATTCATGCAATTTCCAGCTAAATCTTTATTCATAATTTTCTTGGTCAATTCACGAGACCTTAACAATTTATTCAGTACATAATATAGGACGATATTACAAAGTTGACATACAAGCTTACACTAATGGTTTAAGCTATAAGCCTTCTCGTAGCGCTGGGAGCCTCACTTTTATTTGAGACTCGTTCTTCGAGCGTTTTTGAACGGATGAACTTATCACTCAGTTACATGTTAATGATGATTCCACTCGAAATTACTTATCATGTTTTTAGAAGTAATGACTCTCATATCATGTTAGAGGTAACTATCGTAAGAAAATTAACATGATAATGTGTCTTCATATGAAGAGTTCGTTGTAATCCGGCAATGAAGGAATCAAATAGTCTAACCAGAATTCAATCACTAATCAAAAAGCTCGTTGAATTGCAACAAGCTTGCTAAAGAGTAATGAAAGTAGATTAGTGGCAAATTTATGAGATGAGTCACGTCTATGTCTGAAGCTACTCGAAGCCTCTATTCATATTTATGGCCAAGTGTTAAACTCCTTCACATTCTTTTGTCAAGGCAAGCCTCGATGATCAAGGCATAAATATTCATTTTATGACACATGGACACGTGAAGGAATTCCTATCGTGACAGACGTTGCATTCAGCGGATTATAATATTTTCTAGATGTAACACTACACCCACAAGAATTTATCGATGATCTATTTTAATACAAATAGAGACTCTCTCAAAATGTGATAAATGTAACAAATATAAGTAAGATAATGAGATAATACATCTTCAAAGAGCTTATCATAATCCTACAATGAAGTGGTCGGACTAGAATCCATCGCTAATCACAAAGGTAATCCAACGAATTACAAGTACATGTACTATGGTAGAAATGAGAATTATAAATTTGCTAAATTATTGGTTAAGGAATTATTCCTCGGAAGTTTCCACAATTATAAAAAGTTGGTCTAAATCTGATGGTCAAATATTTGAAAAAAGCATACTATAGAAAGTCATTCTTTTCGTATCGTGGAAAGCTTCACGTTGAATATTGTAGCGTCAAATATCACAATTGTACTTGATAGAGGAGTTTTATTATGTAATGTCTGTAATCATACATGGTGTTGACACACAAAATGTACATCCCAATTCAAATGACCCAAGAAAGAAAATGGCCCAAGAGAAGAAGTCTGTTTAGAGAGATTAGGGTAAAAACCCAATTGAAAGTCTAGTGCGAAAGCCCAGATGAGAGTGCAGACAAATGACATGGAAGCCCACAAGCAAAGTAACGCTTTTGCCCAAACTTGCAGAACGCCCAGAGCCTGAGC